GTTATAACAATTATACATCTTATCTCGACAAGAAATAAATAAATACGAATAAATAGATCGAAAGATCAACAAATTCGATTTCCAAAATAATTTCAATAAACGAAAAGTTTTCATTAATTTCCAAAAAAAAAAAATGCAATTTAATCGTACAGATCCGAGCACAATAGGAGATTTAAATCCAGAGAAAATTCCACATTATCCACATACGAATTTTAATCCTCTTCACGAATCCCAAATCCATCGTTTGCACCGATTTTGGAAACAAGAATCGCCGGATACATTGCGCGTAACCACTACTTTTCCGCGGAGCGGAAGAAGAAGCAGTTTCGGCCAAAAGCCTGGAGAATTCATCACGAATGTTCTATTCGCGAACCCGAATCGAAATTGCAGGCTGCAATGCGGCAAAAAATAAACCCTCCTCGTGCAAGTATAAGGAAACCGGTGTAAAAACAGCTGGCAATAATACCAGCCGGGGACACAGCGATTTTCCATAAATTGGTGAAAACTATTCGAATATCTTCTCGTTATCTCGATTGGCTGAAAACTGTGGCGTGGATCAAGTCGCAAGTGCGGGAAAATATAAATGCGCTTCCTGGATATAAAATTAAAACGATTTTAAACGAGTAAGTAAGAAGAGAAAAGAAAATTTCTAGAATTTCGCTCGATCTTAGCAAAAATTACACAATTTATAATATATTTATTTCATCCCCAATTATCGTACAATTTTTCTCAAACAAAATCCAATTTCTACAAGACGAATTAAATTCAATATTCAAACTTGAACATCAATTTTAATTTTAATTTATAAAATTCCTCTGAAACATAGCGTAAAACTGCGTACACCAGTATCCAGCGGATAAATTAGAAGCTTCCTTCTCTTTTTCACCCGAAGGAAGGATTTCCTTCCAGCAAAAAAGAAAATCTCTCAATTCGCAATGTGTCTTTCGACGAGCAGCTCTCTCTCTTTGCGGTTTTCGACTACCTTTCGAAACCTTTCCGACCGTTTTTTGGGGGAAAAGAGGACACCCGCAAACCCTATTCTCCACCCTAGGCTAATTACGTGGCTGGAATACTCTGAAAGCCGTGGCAACGATAGTTCAACGTAGCCGTGTGATTAACAACCTTTCGAATATCACGATTCGTTTTCTCTTCTTCTTTTTTGTGGAACAGACACGATGATTTTTCGTGTATCGAGCAAGGGGGTGCGAAAATTCCACAACGTGGATTCGAAAGTTACGAGGTGTGTGCATCAGGGTGGAATAAAACACTTTTTATCGTTGCTCGCGATTTCTTCGTATTTGGTTTGGCAAATTTTTTAATTCTACGTTTTTTAAGGAAATTTCGAAGGATTCGAAAATAACGAGGATAGAAAAAATTAATTTTAGAAATAAAAAAATCTGGAAGATTAAGTGGGAAAATTTTTCCACCATGCGACATTCACCTTTGTTACGTAATCCAATTTCCAATCGGACAATTCCCCGATAAATTGGAAATAGCCCGTGAGAGAAGACGGTGGATTGAAATAGCGATCATTATCACTGAGATAACGAACGAAATACGAGTCGAATAGGAAACAAGGGGGCCTTTCATTGACGACATTAGCAACTCGAGAAACTAGAATCGAAGAAAAGGTGTCGAAGCTTTCCAGCGAGAAACCTGTTAACAGCTAATAAGGATTGAGCAGCCAAGTTGCGAGATTACGTTCCCAGTAAGCTGAGAACTACTTTCTTAACGCTCTATAGCATTTTCAGGATAGATCTTGCTGATCCATACCGTGATTTTAATTATCCTCCCTTCTCTGTTTTTATTTCAATTCGTGATTATATTTCACTCAATTTCATAGGAGAAAAAAGCTTATATTTCTCTAGCGTTGAAATAAACGTTTCTTTTTTAAAGTTAATAAGTTTTTATATTTGAACAATGGCTCGAATCGATTGACAGAACCATATCGCGTTTATAACAATTAATTATGAAATTAAATTATGAAATATTTACACAATGTTGGAATTAAAAATAAAAAAGGAAAAAAAATTACACTTTATGTGGAGTTCATTAAAATTTTTTAATTAAGATAGAATAGAATTTTTTAAATATTATTTCCTCTATTTTTAAATTTAAATATACGTACAACGATATTAATAATTTAATTCGAAAAATAATGTGTGCGTTGAATGCAAGATATTTTAATTATTTTATTCTATTTTATTTTATCTATTATAATATTTTAATGATATTACGCGTTTAATGATGCAGCATTCAGTGCAGCTTTATTAAACTGAGCGATTGAATCCTGGCTTCATAAACTGGCTGGAATAATCCTTATGCGAAATTCCTTTAATATTTTCAGTACTTAATTGGTAATTAAAATATTGACATATATATATATATATATATATATATATATATATATATATATATATATATAT